TCATCAATACTAAAATAATGAAAATGAATTATTAAATAATAATAATAATAATAATAATAATAATATAACGAAGATGTTGATAATAATAATAAACTATATACATAAGAATGATAGGAAAATAATGTATTGATCGACATACATAACATTGATGAATATCAGTGCTGAATACCGGCGTGAATGAGTGTAGGAAAATTAAGCGAGAAGCGAAGCCACACCCTCGTCAGCCATGGATCGAGTGTAAAAAAAAAAAAAAAATAAATTCGAGAGAGAAATAAACGGATGCTGCGTGTACTGACAACTGTGGTAAGACATCCGGTTCCAATCGGAGGGAAAAAAAACGCGTGGGCAGACGAGAGCGTGACCATCACAAAGAAGATTCATAAATAACTAATATAAAGGAAAATAATAATTAATAATATTGGACCATATGCATAACACTCTCACAACGCATTGTCTAGGTATAGATATTATGATCGGTAGCATTTCCGATGTCGCATCTACATTACGTCGTCGTTAATGGCAGATAAGGCGCTACAGCGATGATGCTGCTTGTGAGCTGCGTTGCTAACACGTAGAATTAATCGTGCTTACGTGTATTTGAATTCGAGGCTATTGTGAGGAAGGGCCCTATCCGGATTTCGGATTCGATATCAATAGGGACTTGCGTAGTATTTACAATGGAAGCTAAACGCGTTGCAAGAAATCCGTAAAGGGCGTCAAGACGTTGACGTGAAGATGTTGACGGAATGAGTTGTTAGCTTCGCAAATAATGACGACGATAACGAGAACGATAAAAGAACAATATGTCAACGCTTAGAAATGTAATCAGATAAAACAGATCGTCACTAATATATCGTACTCTAACTTTATAAAGATATACCATATACTAAAGCTTGAAATATAAAATATTGTAGTTATAAGTAGTATATGTAATAAAATTCTTATCTCGAAATCTTATCTGTACACAGGAAACAAGTAACTACTTAATTTAATCATATATATATATATATATATCGATATTCTTTAAGTTATTTAGTTACTATTCATGTCGACCATTATCAGTCTAATCTAAAATTAAGCTTGTAAAGATTAAATAATACGTTTGTAATACGATTTATTATCACGTATTTTTTCCTATCTATTAATATTTTTCACGTTTTCTCTTTCGCTCTCGCATTCACTCATTCGCTCTTTCATACTACTTCCACACTGCAAAAAGAAAGCCCTTTATTATCGGTACCATCATCTCGTAATGCATATCATTGATAGGAACTTTAAAGAGTATTTCCTAGTTCTAGGTATATTATGTTCAGATAAATATGTATCTGAACATTCTATATATATGTATATATTATTTATATATATATATGTGTACATGTGTGTGTGTACATACACGAAATATGAGAAAAGTATACCTAAGTATAACGGGGACATTTGATGAATCGTATTTAACATTGTATTTAACATTGTATATTGTTACCACAGGTCTGTTTTCTTATTCTTGCACTTTACTGTAGAAGTCTCTTTCTCGCTTTCACCAAGTATCAGACATATACTTATCTCACTTTAAGTTCCAAAAATGTACATTAGTTCAGCCTCATAGAAAATAGACTCTATGTTATTAAACCGATTAAACTCCTTGAGTCGTTCAAGTAATCTCACACAATCGTATATAGATAATAAATTACGTACAATTGCAATACATGTTTTATCTTACATGTAGTTGCAATCATTTATATACGATCTTTGAAACAACTTTATACTGGACAGTTCGAAATTTTTTGACATAGCGTTAATTTTAATGATTTTGATAATCAATTATAAAGTATATAAAAACATAAAAATTTTGTCTGAAACATATTTTTTTCTATACTATTTTCTATCTAACCGTTTCGCTGATAATTCATAGAAATCAATAATAAACGATTTGATAGGACCGTATAATGTGAATATAATAAGTAAGAAAGGCAATTTTCACGTTTCCGTCCTAAAGAAAAAGTTACATGGTCGATATTCTAATTTACACCGAGCCCTTGGTATGCGTAGTAACTTTTTATTAAGTTATTTTAATTTCGGCTATATATATACAGAATCAGAAACAAATTTACAGAAAGATATACTGAGCTAGTATACATCCATGCTATGCATCCATATGATTAATAAAATAACCATATGATGTATACGTTTACACTCATCGCCAAAATTAACATAATTTTATAGAAAATTACTAGTTGATATGTGTATTAAGTTAACTCTCGGTGTAAATAAGATCTATAACAGACGAAGTCAAATTTTAAGTGCTTTGGATAATTCCGTGTGAATTTATATACATTTGTAACTCTTTTTTACTATTCAGTCGAATAGTCGGATATTATTAGTATCCGGCAATATATCCGGCTAAAATTTTATGTTGAAACTTTGCGTCATTAATGTTGTTCTTTTCAGCTGAACTTTTTGCATAGTTCATCTTTCTCTTCTTTTTCTTTTTACATAGGGAAGATAAAGAAAAATATTATCGCTATTTTTCCCTTGCTTTTTTTTAATTGCGCGCCAAATTGGTTTGTTCATGTTGAGAGTAGTCAAATATATAAGCGTCAGTTTTGACTTTTGGAATCTGTCATAACGATTGTCATAACGACAGTCAAAAATTATGTTTTTTCACAATATTCGTTTCATGTTTCGTCACATACTCAATTTTTATTAACTATCATTGCTAGTTTAGGTCCTACAAAAATAAACGTGACATTTTCGTGATTCTTGAAATATATGTTATTAAATACAAAATCTAACAGACATGTATATTTTTTATATCAGCCTAATTTCAGTTTTAAAGGATGAAACAATTCCTGAAAATAAATGAGGGTAATTTTCAAATGCAAGATTGTCACAAATCTAGAAAATTTGGAAAAATACAAAAATCCTGAAATTTTGAACTTTTTCTCACAATTCTCTTTAGGTAGTACACTCGTGACAATACGATCCGAAAGTTAGGTCCTATAACTCATTGAGTTATAGGGCCTAACTTTCCGATATCCTTACTCCCGCTAGTAAGAGAAAATTTTTGATTGTGCCTGTCCAAGTCCGTACGTACACGCGGACTGAAAGAATACAGATAGACGCAGACGATTGTCAGATCTAATTGTCTCTATATGCCGAATAAAATCGAAAATTACATTCTTTCCACAGCTTTTCCCAACTAAACGGTAAAAAATTATGATGTTTTTTTCAAAATATTAATGTCATGTTCCTTCATCACATATTCGTTTTTTTATTAACATATCACTGTTAATTTAGGTCCTACAAACATAAACGCGATATTTTCATTTGTGCACGTTTTAATTGCTATCTCAATCTTATTCTAATTGCACAGCTTGTCAAAGTCTCTTAGTACAATATATAGTTTTAATTTCAAGGAATTCTATTTTAATTTTGCGAGTGTACTACCTTAAACGTTCTATTTTAAAAAATAATCATAATTTTTTTTTAATGTATCTAATTTTAAGTATATTTACATTTATAATCAAAATATTGAAAAATTATATACACTTTATACTATTACTTTATATACATTTGTTCAACTCAACGTAAAGCTGTCACGTGTTTCCTTATTTTACGTATTACTACGAAGAAACGCTTTTGAGGTGCTCTTACATTCATTTCGTGTTCACAACGCTGGTTTTCCATAAGAACTAGAAGTTATTAGCTATTGTTCTTTCTTGCTACGCAACAAACACAAACGTTTTCGCGTAATGTGTGTAGGAGCTCCTCTAGCTTTTGTTTATCTACTACTTTTGCTAATATATTTAGAATGTCAACTTATTTATATTTATTAGAGTGAATAACGTTAAATTGCTTCAACGATAAAATTAACTATTAATGGACTTCTAAAATTCAAACATTAAGCTGATACTTAAGAGTAAGAGAAAGGAAATAACTGCGTAGTAATCAGTGTGCTATAATTATAAAACGTGAAATATGTTTATAATTTCGTTAAATGTAACGTAATATTCGATTGCAATATTAGACACTAATACAGCTTTGACCAAATATGGTTTCCTCCACTTATTTGAAAATTTGTATCAATCCATTTTTATTTAAAATTATTAAAACTTAAGATTACATATTTTTGATATAGGTAAAAAAAAATGTTCCACTATCGTTCGAAAAATATCGAAAAGTCAGATAATTTCAAAATGTATTTTTTGTGGCAACTAAAATATTAAATTTTGGAAAACTTTAAATATGACTGTAAAAAGAAATTCACTGTTTCACTAAAAATTGATAGGAAATCAATTATCAATCAATTAGTAGAAATCGAATATAAGTGTTAGCTTCGAGAGGTTGTTTCATCCTTTATACATTAATATGTACTACATATTTCCCCGGATATCTGGTACATCTCTAATCAGATATCCGGGGAAATATGTAGTATCTTGTCGGGTAATTGTCCTAGTGGATATCCGACTAATGTCTAAAAAAAAGTGATACCGGATATCTGATATTTAGTAATTTGACGATCCAGCATTCTTATTTTATATCTGAGAGATCGGACTGATATAAAAAATACGTCTCTTAAATTTTTACATTTACCAACATATTTCAAGGAAATTCAAATCGGTTCCCGATAGTTGTGACAGTTTCCTTTATCAGTAAAGGCCGCCTCAAACAATCTATCATACAAATATATGTATGTACGTATTTAAATACAATACATATACATATGTGTGTGCATACATATATATACTCACACATATGTACTGTATGTGTATAAATACATATGTACATATATATATAAAAACACAGTATGTAATATATATGTGTATATATACTATATATAATATATATATCATATACTGTATATATTATATATAATATATGTATACATATATTTATAAATAAATATATATAGATTTATATGATAGTCGTTATAAATCAGTACGAATTTTGATTCGACGTTATATAATAATTCGTTTAATCGTTTAAGTCAGCCAGACACTCACCGGCCGTAGTGCTAGCTGTGCTGGCTGCAGCGGCGGCGGGATGCTGTTGCTGCTGCTGTTGTGACTGGAACATTGCCGTGGGATGAAGGAACACGGATCCGTACATCATGTTTTCGTCCGACTGTTGCTGCTGCTGTTGACTGACTTGTTGACTGGCCGTGGTGACCACCGGCGAACTGCCGATACTGGGCACACCGGCGGCATTGTTGCCGCCGGGCACGATCGGCGCTCCGGGAGTTGGTGGTACCAAACTGCCCTCTTCGACGGCCACGCGCACCGACTCGATGTGCCGCCGCGAGAAGACGTGCTCCTGCAGCGGTGTCTTGGCTGAGTAGCGTACAGAACACAATCTGCACTCGTCTGGTCCGGTCGGGCCACGATGTGGTTGAACAGCTGAACCCTCGGCTGGCAAACCAGCCGCTAATCTGGCCTTCTTCTCCTTAGCGCGGGCGTTCTGGAACCACACCTGCAACTCGTCTCATTAGTATCCGTGAGCTCGGATCGTGAATTAGATGCACGCGCGTTCAAGGAATGGTCTTCTCGTGGATATTAATGGTTATTATGAGCTCGAGGTTGGCTCACAGGACTATCGATGCTCACCTGGACCACCCGTTTCGGAAGGCCGATCTCACGGCCAAGCATCTCGCATTCGGCCATCGTCGGCGTCTTGTAGTCCGAAAAGAGCGACTTCATCACCTTCACCTGTGTAGCGGACATCTGCGTACGGTATCGCTTGCCGCCGGATTGGCCAGTATTGCCGCCCGATTGTCCACCGGTCACTGGCGTTCCCGGCGTATTCCCGGTACTTCCGCTAGCGGGTCCTTGCCTCGAGCTCTGCGTGCTCGAGGCTGGACTAACCGGTCCACTTTCATCATCCAAAAATTCCGTTGTCTCGCTCATGCTGTCGTCATCGCAAATACTACGTTCGGATAAATCAGTTAGAGGCCCACAATCGCTGCCGCCGCGGAAATGAACACTGTGCTGTTCTTCAAGAAGGCTGCTGAAGTTACTCAAGCATAATTTCACTGGCCGGCTGAGATCGACTGGTTTGCTTAGATCCAATGGTGACTCGCAGCTGTTTCCGCTGGCTTGATGATTTGCCGTTTCTTGTTTTCCATTACTAGCGTGCGCTTGGATTTCGCTGAAATATCGCCTCATGTCGTCATAATATTTCAGAGATTTTAAAGATGACTCCATGATGTCGCTATTAGGCGGAAACAACGGTGGCATCATTTGAGGAGTGCTAGAATTCGAAGGAACAGATTCCATCGAGAGTTCTTCATCTGGGATGTTATCGATGTTTACTTCGCCGCGAGCCACTTGATCGGCGTGTTTGCTGCTGAGATGAGATTCTAAAGCGGATTTGACTTTGAATAGCGCTGGGCAGAATGGACAGCGCTTATTGATAACCTGGCTATGAGCGCGGAATTGACCTTTGCGCTCGCGAGCGCGTGTATTCTGAAACCATACCTGCACCACACGTTTTTTCAAACCAACCTCTCTAGCGATTGTCTCCAACATTTTTCTCGACGGATTAGACTCAATCTGGTATTTCTGATAAAGATAGTCTAACTGTTCCGGAAGTATTGTGGTTCGTAAACGTTTGTCCTTGGGCTGCTCGTTGTGTTCCGAGTTCGAACGGTTGTCGCTGCCAGTCCCCTCCTCGAGATCCTCGAACTTCCTCTTTTGTATCATGCTGATGAGTGAATGCGGGGTGTCCGTTGCAACTCCAGCTTGGCTAGCGTTAAGCGCTTGCTGCTGTAAGATTCCGAATGGTGAGTCAGGTGGATACGCAGAGGGAAATAAGGTTGGATTCATGATATGTATTAACTGATGTTCGCGCCAAAGTTCAAATCGCCCGAACATCAGGTTGCATTTTTCACATTGAAAACTACCTTCCTTCGACTCTGTCTGTGATTGTTGCTGCTGTTGTTGCTGTTGTGACTGTTGATGTGTCTGAGACAGAGTTTGCTGCTGATGTTGATGAGGTGATGTAGCAGTGCTCAACGGTTGTTGCAACTGTTCAGTAAGCGCAGGCGCGGATGATGGATTGTTAGTCACGGTATTGTTTGTAGTTGTCGTGGAGCTGCTGTTACTATCTTCGGAGCTTAGAACTGCAGCGACTTGAGCTGCTGCAGCCTGCGCTTGTGCACTCCTCTTAGCGTCTTCTTCTTTAAAACAATGCGTTTTTTGATGACGTATGAGCTCGTAGTATCTTTGAAATACTAAGAGGCACTTTTTACACTGGTAGTTTAAACCTGGTGTTCTTTGAAATCTACCGGATCCATCATCATTTTCGCGTCCACCTGGTGTCACGGGTTCGGCGGCTGGTTGATTTTCATATACTTTACGTGCTTTTTGTCTTGCGTTTTGAAACCACACTACGATTACACGTGGACTCAAACCAAGTAGTTTGCTAAGATATTCCAAATCATCGTCCTTAGGATACGCATTGTTTTCAAAGAATTCCTGAAGGACTTTTATTTGATAATCTGTGAATCTAGTACGATTAGCACGCTTACCTGAACTACCACCTGAAGTATTACTACCGTTACTATTTCCACCAAAATAATCGGTTGGTCCACGACCCGGACTTAGAGATCTTTGAGGTGTGAGCGCCATTGCAGCGATTGAACTTGGTACTACACCAGCGGCTCCTGGAGTAGGACTGGCAAAGTTCTGGGAGGTCAATTTCGGTGGTAACATCGGAGTACTCGGAGTATTTGTGGTTGACGAAGTATGAGAGGAAATATCGTGATGGATAGCCGAGAATACAGAACTCATACTGAGCGCGGGTGAATGCGGTCGCGATTGTTGTCCACCTGAGCTGCCGGGCGAGTGATGTTGCTGGTCTTCTTGATGTTGTACAGCTTGCTGTTGCTGTTGACACTGTGACTGTTCGAGTGTCTCTTGCTTAATCTCGGTAGATTGAGTTGCGTTGGTGTTTTGCATAGACGGTGGAGGAGTGGATTGTTTATTTGGGCTTTTATCGTCAGAGGAACTGCTACCAGATACGCTCGAATTTAATGGAGTTACTTTCGCCTCACCGGTTTTCTCATACTCTTCAAGATTTAGAGTGGTACTTGGTGGATTATTGAAATTGTAAGGACTGTCTTTGTTGCGTTGTCGTTCTTTAAATAATGTATTCCGAAACCAATGTTTTATGACTTTAGGCGGAAGACCACTCTGAGCGGCCATATCTAGGATTTGCTCTTCGCCAGGAGAATTATTAATATCAAAATGGGCCCGTAATATCTTTAGTTGTTCATCAGTGATACGTGTACGCGCTCGTTTCTGTGATGCAGCTGCATTTGCCTGAAAGGTCAAAAGAATCACTTTTCTTCTGATAACTAATACATGAGTGATATTCGATATTTATCTATCTTATAGATAAATAATATTCTTGACGTATATAGTCCATTGAAGCGATTTTCCGACATCGTTGATTGCACTTAAGTGTTCACTCTTCACAATGTACTAAAAAATCTTTCAATGATGTTCATTGCACAGTTATAAGAAAATATACAAGACATGTTTCGTAGCTAGAAAGAAATTTTCAATATCTTTTTTTAACATTTTTGTCAATTCAAATTCGTTAAGTTCCTCTTTTTAAATTTTGTATCTTTCCAGAGACTGTACCGTAAGTCCATTGTAAAAATTTCTTCCTATTACACTTAAACCTCTGATTTGTGTTACACCTCTCTCAAATGCTTATGCGCACACTGATTATTTAGTGGCCACAATCATATGAGACTTACAGTTTTAATGACAGTACCAAACGACAGATTTTTTGAGAGGTGTTTCTCAGAAATTATTCAAATTATAATCAGAATGAATTGTATATTTCTTTTTTGAAATTTTCTAATGTTATATTCAACGTAAGAATATAGTGTTATAATTATGGAAAAGGCGGTAATTTCTCGTCGGAAAATCGCAACTTTACTGATACTATTAAAGAATTTAAATAAGGAATTATCAACATCTTTTCTTAATTCCTTATTGAATCGAAATTTATGAAGCAATCGTACCAAACAATTATACAACAGTTGCAAAGCTGCCTTCTCTGCTGAATGCAATCAATGATATTCATAATTTAATTATTTCTTGACAAAATTTGAAAAGGGAGTCCTGCGTATACTCATAAATTCAGTATATAGGTAAATGACTAGTTTCGAATTACAGCCATAACGTTTGAAAATTAGTGCTATCATTCAATCATTTCATGTTTTCGTAAGAAAGTATGTAATATTATTGAAATAATATTATATTAAAACAACAAAGATAGAAAAAGATATGTAAGAGTCAAATCCGAAATTATAAACAACAAAATCATAACATGATAAAATCTTTAATTATAGAATAAAATTATATACAATATTAACATCAAATTTCTAAGCGCGCACATGAATACAATAAATTATACGTTAAAAATAGAAATAAAAACATGACGTTTCGACTCTAAATTTGAGTCATCTTCAGATGTTACATTGTTATAACAGAAAGATATATTTACTAAGGAAAAAAGTGACTTAATAAGATCTAGTTTGTCTAGTACGAAGCTGCAGATGTACATGTTAATATTGGTTATTTTCATGATAAAAACTGATAATTTTTCCCGAGGAAGCAACACATCTCGTCAACCGATTGGACAATCGAATGCGATACCTTGTACTTCTAATAAAAAATTTTTTTAAATAAAAACTATAATCTGACAAGCGTATTGCTTCTCCGATAAAAACTCACCACTGATAAATTCCAGAACACCCCTGGTAAATTCCAAAACTCCATGTCAATTAGAAACTGTCAAATATTATTATGTCGATGAGAATAAAAATTGAGTTTTTAATTACAAGTGTAAATACGTCTAAATATAACCAAAAAGGAAAATGATCGTCCTACTGCCTCAATGTCACAAACTAAAATACATAAAATCTTGGTAATGTAAAGTCAAACATTGTTTATAATTGGTACATATGACACATGTAGAACCCTCTGTGTCAGTCTGTAGGTTGATACTGTTATACTGTTTTTTAATGTTTAGCATCTTGAAACGATACGTTTATTATAACACGGTTCATCGTCTAAAAATTGAACATTATTCCAATCGAAATCATGTCCATGTTGCAATCTGTCTTCCGTTATTACCGATCTAGTGCTCGTATTTTTTCGTATATGGTTACGGTGTTCTGTAATTTTTTTATTACAAGGTACATATCGCATTCGATCATCCAATCGGTTGACGAGATGTGTTGCTTCCTCGGGAAAAATCAGTTTTTATCATGAAAATAACCAATATTAGCATGTACATCCTGCAGCTTCGTATTAGACAAACTAGATCTTATTGCGTCAACTTTTTTCCTTAGTAAATATATCTTTCTGTTATAACAATGTAACATCTGAAGATGACTCAAATTTAGAGTCAAAACGTCATGTTTTTATTTCTATTTTTAATGTATAATTTATTGTATTCATGTGCGCGATTAGAAATTTGATGTTAATATTGTATATAATTTTATTCTATAATTAAAGATTTTATCATGTTATGATTTTGTTGTTTATAATTTCGGATTTGACTCTTACATGTCTTTTTCTATCTTTGTTGTTTTAATATTAAGAGTCCTGTACTTTCTCTTTATTTTTAATATTATATTAATATGTATGTATATGTACATATGTAAATACAAAGTGTTTTAAAATCTTCGTACTTTCTGTTAAGAATAAATTATTTGAAATATTCTATATTCTATAACAATAAGACAAAAAGCTTAATATGAAAATATCAAGGTAATAGTTTTTAAGCTGGTATTTCAGTAATCGAGGACGAATGAGAGTATAGCGTTGTAATTGGTGACGCAAATTAATAAATGGATTTGTATCACATAAAATCCTTTATTCTAAATCAAACATAAAAAATATATAGAACGTAACTTCAGCTAATACAAATTTGATATTCTTCCTTTGTATTAAAATATGATATATATAATATATTTTGTGTGTATATATTATATATATATATTGTATATATAAGTGCTATCATAAATTAAACCTATTAATAAGGTCGAGATTATTATACAGATATACGTAACAATATTTTTATTTAGAAATAAATTCCAAAATTTTTAGTATTTACGAAACGAATAAACATGATAAGTAATAAATTATTTTGGCAAATGAAATATGTCATAATATCGCGCTATTTTATAGGCAATATCTCTCTCACTAATAAATTATATTTCGTAATTATACGTAATAATACACTTACAAAAAATTCCGTATAAAAACAATTTATATTTCAAAAAAATCAAATACAAACAAAGACTCTAAAGAATAAATCAAAAGTAAAATAAGAATGCCAATAAGAGCTGACAATGTGTAATTTTCTTATCAAATAAATTGTATTATACATCGTCAACCAATGTCGGGTTCTTATTGGTATTCTTATTTTAATTTTAATTTATATTTCTACACACGGGATTTTCGTATACATATATTTAGTATAAGATATGGCTATATTTTTATAGCCAGCGGAGTTAAATAAATATACTAATATTTTGTGAAATATTTTAATCTTGTAAAATCCTAGAAGTATCCCAAGAAGTAAAGATTTGAGTGTCTAGTAGACATATGTACAGAGGATATACTGATATTTGATAGTCAAGATGTCCTATAAACAGTCTTTGAATTATTATAAATAGTCTCTAGAATATGTAAATATCTCCTTATTAAATTCTTTATGTTCATTGATTTTTTTTGTTCAATACTTTTATAAGATTGCTGATATTTTTTTTTTAATCAAAAAACTCTTTTTCATTAATGGAAATCAATAGTTAAATAAAGTAATAAATGTTAAGACATTGTGATCATTTCGCTACATACCGCTGCTGCAGCTTGTTGCTGTTGCAAGGCAAGATGTTGTTTAGCAAGAAGATCTGCTTGGTTAATTGATGGATATGCAGTAGCAGCACCATCGTACGGTGGTGGCGGTAGCATCATTGGCACTAAAGGTGGTTGCAGATTCATGGCGGCTAAAGCGGGTACGTTTAATCCTAATGGTAATCCCATCATTCCCATCATCAATCCTGGATACTGTTGCAGTTGCTGCTGTAATTGTGATGCAGCCATTGCAGCATTTAGAGCAGCTTGCATTTCGGTCATCTGTTGTGCAAATGCAAGTTGAGTATGTTGTTGTTGTTGCTGCTGCTGTTGTTGTTGTTGCTGCTGTAACTGTTGTTGTTGTTGTTGTTGTTGCTGTTGTGGAGTATGATGCTGTGGATTAGATAGGACAGTCGGTGTCGTGGAATCTGTACTTGAAACTGGCGTGTTACTCAACGCTGGTGTGGTCGCTGGAGTAGTAGATGTAGCTTCCGGCGTTCGACTGATGCACTCTTTGCTTTCAGCGTTATCTTCTTTCTCCTTTTCGCGAAATTCTTTGTCGGAGCTGAGATCTTGAGGTTGTGTAGTAACGGCTGTGGTGCTTGTCGGCGTCGTAGTGGAGGATGTGGTGGTGGACGTCGCGACGACAGTTTTTTTTTCGTACTCGCATTTGAATTGTTGCGCATATTTCTCGAGAAATTCGCGCGGTACGAGATCACGATGTACTTCCTCACAATGAGCCTTCAGGACCCAAACGCTGCTGAATTCCTTGTTACAGTGTTGGCAAGTACTACGCGTAAGTTCTGGTATCACATCGTCTACATCCATATGAGCCTCTTCGACTTCTTCCTCCTTTACCTGCATGGCTTGTGCAGCGAGTGCTTGCTTCTGTTGTTCCTGCTTTTGTTGTTCTTGTTGCGCTTGAAGAGCAGCAGCTGCTTCCTCCTCCTTCCGTTGTCGTCTTTGGTGATTCTCATTGAACTGCATGACGAGATCAAAACCGAAACTCTCCAACAGATGCTTATACATCTGTGAGGTCTTATGTCGAGGTTGAGAGAGAATATCTTGTGTGGTTTGCGATGAGTGCGTAGTGGATTGCATATGTTGTTGCGGTCCCGGTGTTGTAGATGTAGGAGGTGGTGTCTTCGAGGCGGACGAAGCTAATTGCTGCGATGCAGCAAATTGTTGAAACAATGCCAATGCCGGATTGCTCAAAATTATGTTACATAATTGTTGATGCGCCGCGAGTTGATCTTGATTAACGAACACACTATTACATCGCGCACATGAGAGAATTCCCCCAGTATTGCTTGTGTTTGTGTTGACGGGCGGACTGTTCGGACTTAGCGGTGGTTGTTCAATCAATGGTCGAGCTAGATCTAATTGTCCACTGGCGGCAAGATCTTGCAATTTACTGGCACGCGTTTGATGAAGAACACTTCTCATATGGATATCCAAAGTGCTGCCCTGAGTATAAGCGACCTTACAGATGTTGCACTTGTACGGTTTCTTGTCTTGATCTTGTTGAGAGTCGGGCGATTCAGTCGGGCTAGCGGGAGGTACCACTGAGATCAATGTATTGTTGTTACCTTGCTCCTGCATCGCCCGCTTTAACTTGTGCAAATGACTCACGCTGTTGTAATGCACCAAAAGTATGTTCTTCTGCGTGAAACTCTCCTTACAAACGTCACATTTGTATGGTCTGTTGGGATCTAAATATTTTTCCATAGGATAAGACATTTTCTCACCTTTGCGATGCAACAAGGTCTTGTTGTGACCAGTCAGATAGCTCTGACGTGTGAAAGCCACTTTGCACCGGTGACATTTAAATTTTCGATTTGGATCTTGATAGGAATCCTCAGCAATTGTTTGGCTATTTAAATAATCCTCCAATAATCGTTGTTCTTTTTGCAACGGAGAACTCAACGAATCACTGGCATCACTTTCTTCCTCATCACCTCTACCAGCATCATCTTCCACATGTAGCTCGCTTGCCAGGCTTTGTCTCTTCAATGTTTCTTCCGTGAATGCTTGAAGAAGAAGAGGATGCTGGAATAAACTCTGTTTGTACTGACTTAATTCCTCTTCATGGAGATCGTGGGCAGATTCCAAATGTCTCTGAAGCGCTTGAACTGAGCGAAAAGATCGTCCACACAAAGCGCATTTAGTCGCATCTCTAATAGCGTGATACTGGGAGTGTTGCTGAAGTTTCTCCAAGGTTTTGAACGCAAGGCTGCATTGTACGCATCGATACTTGTAAACGTGTTTCTCGCTAACTGCCAAGGTAGGCGTGGTGGTTGGATGGGCTTCCCGGTGATGTTGTTGAAGTTCCTCGAGAGAACGCCAAACTCGACCGCACACATTACACCTGGCCGTTTCCTCGATTTCATCACTGCCACCCCGTTCACTCATTTCTTCTTCCTGTTGGGTTTTCGTCGTTGTCGTGGGCGATGCTGGCGTCGTTGTTGTCGTAACAGCCGGCGTCGAAGAATTCCGATTATTATTTAGCCAATGGCTTTGATCCACCAATAGTAGTAGCCTCTGTAGACCGTCGGTATTAACGGAGTGAATTTGCATCACGTGCTTTTCCAGGGCGGGACGTTCTTTGAAATTATCTTGGCACAACGGGCATAACAATTCCGCCGTCGGCTCTTCTTTCACCGTTTCAGTTTTCTCCTCCGAATCTTGAACGTGAGCCACTTGCAAATGCTGTCGTAATTCTTCTCGCGACGTCGGCTGATACGTACAGTATAGGCACGTAATTTCTTCTTGGTCATTCTCGGGCTCGGCTTCCTGTTCTGGATCATTGTCCGGTTCTTGTTTCACTTCACTGCCGCAATCACTACCTTCTTCTCGTCGTTCTGAAAGTAGATGGAAAAAAAAGTTTATTTCAGAATTTTTACATCATAATAATGTACTTGTCGAACGCTTTTATACATATAAAACAATAAAAATTATCACAATGTTAATTTAAACAAAATAAATTATTATGGCTATAAAATATTATTGAAAATCAATAAAAAGACAAATATTACAATTCTAATTTATTTAGTAGTGGTGCGATGAATAACGGTTGGGACTAGAGAGCGCAGTTCCCAATAAGAGTAAAACAGATCCAAAAAAAAGTTCCTCTGTCACCGCTTGTTTTCCGAAGTTAAGCAGTTAGTCCTAGTCCTGTATCATCTACTAGGCTTATGAGATTGCTCACCCTATTTTGTTCTAGATTCTCGGGCTCGACGAATATATGGTCTCAAGATTTCTATCTTTTAAAGGCGAGCATAAGACAGCGACATAAAATATGCAGACTAGAAATGTGCGATCTCAATTCAATTCACTAAAAGATTGATTTTTTACCCTAAAAAAATCAGTTTTTTAATCAATTTGCTAAGGTTTGATTTTAAGGCAGATTAAATTATTCAATAAGAGATGGATCTTTTTAATTTCTTCAAGAGTTACGTTCATTTTCAGAAGACACAATGATATAGTAATTAGTAACTAGAAATAAATAAGTCACTACGTTTATTATATGTTACGAATGATATAGATTTTTATAACGTTGTATCATTTATATTTTGTTTTTTAAAGGTAATTTAGTCAAATTTTGGTTATCACAGATGTGTGTGTTCAGAAATTCAGGATGTGTCATTTATCCATGTTGCTCACTGAATGTTAAACACGGATGAAATAATATCCGTACGCATCCGAATGAAATTTCTGAATGCAGTCAGAAGCCCTACCCAATTAGCGATTGTCATATTTTTAATTTTTATTATAAATTAGAATTATAAATTAAATTATAATTTGTTAGTTTTTTTATTGACATTGACATTTATTAATCGAAATATTTAATTTTATGATCAAAACGTCTCCGTATGGAATTAAAACAACATGAGTATACACAAAAAAGAAGAAACTTTATGATTCGTTTATTAGTAATATTTACGAACATCAACCGTGTTTTGAAATTACTAAACCTGTTTGCTGCAATCGACATTTATTCATCACGGCGTATATATCAAGCTGCGTAGCTCGCCGGCAATGATAAGTAAATAATTAAAAAATTTTTATACACGTGCATATAATTAATAACTTGTCCGCACGGAAAATGACGAGGAAAGTCTTAGGGCTGATTTTGTTTATAGCAATTTCAGGTGCCGGAGAAAATATCGCAATTACGATTTATCGAGTAACTATCGCATACTTTAAAGATTATTTACATTCTTACGATCGCCGAGATTTACCACAATAAATCAGCTTCATCTGACCGGCGCGATATTAAACTTCGGTATTATATATTCAGAGCCGGACGACCGCGTGAGACAACCATCCATTTCGCGGCGATTCGTTCCCCGAGACATTAATTCGAAACTCTATGCGGGAGAAAGTAAATTATAGATACTACCGATAAACTATGACAGTGTCACACAACGAAAAGTTCAATATCATGTACGATCAGGGCGGTATACGCCTGTTAGCATTCTATAACGACGTTATTTTATATAAATTAAAGATACTCAAATTAAAGACTTATTATTAAAGAATTATTTGTCATATTTAAACAATTATGGTGCGTACTTTTCAAACACGTTTAAGCCAGATTAGTATCCATGTTTACTAAAAAAATTAATTTAATTAATAGTTCATATTGCTAATTTAATAAGAAATTCTAATTTACGAAAAAGTGAAAAATAAACACGTCGTAATACTATTCGATGTATTCGAATAATAGTGTGGAACATATAACTATATTATCAAAATTTCTTATGTATCTTCTTATTTATATTATTTTCTTATTTATTTGATTTCAAAAAGTGATGTTCAAATCAAAAAAATTTTTTCTTTAATCGTTTAATAAAGAAACGTCATTTTAAATCGAAGAAACCCTTTTCTGGATCTGACTTTTTCTGTGTTGTTTAATTTCTTATTTGAGTAATTTTTATGATGCTTTCCAGCAGGAGACACAGTGCAAGAAAAATCTGTAAACACAATCTTTTTTTTTTACTAAAAACGACAATATGGGATAAATTAGCCAATACGTAAATTAACTCTCACACTTTTATCTGTGTCTTTTGCGAAGAAGTACCCTATATTAGATTGTTCAAGATTCATGCGTTCCTCCCGCGTCCGCGGATCGATTCGCGGCAAAATTATCGAGCGCAATTATAAGTAAATACGGCGGTCCTTTCAGTGCGCGGACGGAAAGATTTACGCAAGCGATCGCGCACGTAACGCGCGGTGTCGTCGCAGAGAGAAAGTTTTCCGTCGACGCGGCGCGGCGGCCCGAGAACGAAGACGTATACGTTGATGTGTCTGCACGAGTCGCAGATGCTCTCGCGCGTCTTGCAACAATAATATGCCAAATTATAGATTGGTGACAACGAACTACCGATAGCGGTTTCTTACAAAAAAAAAAAAAAAAAAAGGGAATAAAGGTGCCAAAAAAAAAAAAAAAAAAAAAGGGAATAAAGGTGCCAAAAAAAAAAAAAAAAAAAAAGGGAAAGAAGGGACCAAGAAGATAAAAAAAAAAAAAAAAAAAAAGGGAAAGAAGGGACCAAGAAGATAAAAAAACAGAAAAGAAACAAACGAAAAAAGAAAAATAAAAAAAACGAAAGGAGGACAGTCATGTACGCATCGCGCGGCATTGTCCGAAAGCACACTTGCAATGTACAGCGTCAGTTGCGACGTCGCAACGCGCACGGAGCAAAACGCGTGCTGCTGGTTTCACCTCGCGCTCCTGCATTCTCTCCGCACTCGTATATTTATGTAAGTACAGCCCGTCAATATATAATAATACGCGGTATTGTGCGCGCCACGCCGCAGTGGTGGCGGCGGCACACGCCACGGCCATATGCCACGCAAAATTACCGTCATCGTCGACTAATTGTGAGATAATAAAATAATGAGACCAGTGAATTCATTATAAGGGTGCAGTCGTGAGCTTTCTTTGCTAATGCAGGGCGCAGACCGACATAACAGAATTCGCTGTAAAAGAAATTACGTTCATCGTCACGAAATCTGATTACCATTTTTGTACTGTAGTTTTCAAGCTTACAACATTTTTTTTCGGACATTACTCAAGTAGATCTTGTGCAATAAATTCTCGACATTGACACCTTTATTTAATTTATTATTTATAAAATACATTATAGCAGAAAGAGAGTAGCAAGTTTGTAACGAAATAACAAGCTTGAAGGAAGGCACCAGAGGTCGATTGATCGAAAAATACCACAATGTTCTTTCAGTATAGCGACAGCTGTCTCACGTAAAAAAAGCGATTAAAGGAGTTCGCTTTTTGTGAATGACGAGGAAGTGAAAAACGCGACATATTCGTGATTACAGACTGAAGCCTTTTTCTTTTTCAGAGAAACCAAGTTATTTGAACGTTGACACACTTTGCACCGTTATGTAACTTTCTTAATGTATAAGTTTTAGTACATTGCTGTTACTTGATTGCTCTTTAAAATTCTGGGATATTAATGAATGTCATTGGTAATGTAAAACACGTTTCGCAAAACGTTATCTTTAATCAACAGAATATCTTTAGCGTATAAAAGAATCAGTATTAACGAGTGCTAACGATAATTATATAAATTAATACTTACATTAATATTTTGTGATAACGCAATAAATAATAATCCATAATAATAAAAGGGCAAAGAAGAGTCAATTTAAATTAACTAAAAATAAAATAAAATAAAATAAAACTAATGACATATTTAATTCTAAATTATACATTAAAATTAACGATTTACAACCAAATAATATTTAACTTAAAACTAACTAAAATATAGTGCTTAAAATCAAAATTAACAAGTTTCGACTCCTAGATTGAGTCCTCTTCAGAATTCGAATCATCTTATCCGTGGATAAATATATTAATGCAATAAATAATGTTTCTTACAGCAAATTTGGTCATTTTTACAATGTTAGAGATTAGTGTACATATATTAAAATCTGTTATACGTAAAAATAGTAAAATTCAATGTAAAAACAGAAATATCTTACACGATTAAATATACATAATAATAAGATTGTGTCACATTGTTTTACAAAATATACATATATTTCAATGTCAAAGTTGATTTATATTTTACCACTGTATTTAGACTTTATATGAAGCACAACCTTTTTAATGCGTATTAATCCAGTATAATGTCAGTGACCGAATTCTCATGATATACATATTTATTCGTTGTAACTTACCATTGTTGGTACTCGTAGCGTTGGGCGTCGTTGGTGTGGTTGGACTGGGCTGTTGTGTGGTCGGTACTTCGGGATCACTCGTCACTTGGAACATGACGCTGATATCCGCATGCGGAGATTCGTTCCCCGCGAGGGTGCTTCTTCTGGCGGTGTGAATGTGGTGTATCTGTTCCATGTGAAGATGCCGCAAAGATCTCACGTGTTGTAGAAGCGGCAATCGGTGTCGAGCGCTAAACCCGCATATCGCGCAATGATACAATTTCCCGGGGGTTTGAATGTTACTGCTCGCTTCGAGCAGATGACGCAACAGAAGAGACGCGGCTTCGTGCCTTGGTAAAGCGGCGTGCAGGGCCAATTTATGAGCACTATTCGTATAATAATCGCACGCGTGGCAGCGCAACTGCGCGGTACTCGTAGGCGATCCCAAGTATTTGAGCTTCCATTCGTTACGAGGCCCGCCCTCTTTTATATGGTTCATATGTTGGAGTCGTTGCAGGTGTTTGTCAGTCTTGCAATGTAATTGGAAATTTGCTTTTAGGTTGGTTTTATAGGAACAGAGTGTACAGACAAAATTTGCGTTCATAACTGCTAGTATATCGCTTTCGCGAGTTCTAGTTCTGTCGACGGCTAGATGATGACTCAAAGCTTCGAGCGAGTCCGTCGCAAAATTATTGCATATGCAACATTGGTATAGGTGATTAGGATCTTGATCGGCAGGTTCTGGTGGCGGTTCCATACTGTCCGGCGAAAGTCCGACATCACCGCCAAGATTGCTCATGGCAGCCGCGTTTGCTATGGAGCCTATGAGTTCTGGCGGAAACTGCGGCATTTGACCGCCGGTCATCATTGTCATCAAGACCGCCTGATTGTAAGCTAAATCGGCCAACGCCGCTTCCGTAGGTTGCGGTTTGTCCAAACCTCCTAAGTGGAGCAAATGTTCGAGTTGTTGTTGTTGTTGCTGCTGATGATGGTGTTGCGCCTGTTGATGGTGGGACAACGCGGTCAATGTCTGCATGTGTTTGATGTTCTGGTGTAGCACCATCGAATTGTGCGTATGTTTTTCACTCGTCATGTGTATCCTCAGATTGCGCGCGACGTTTGTTTCGTAGTTGCATATGTCACAACGAAATGAGAGTTTCGGTTTACTTTGATTGCCGCCTTGGGAAGCCCGGTGTGGGCTATGATTCTGCTGATGATGGGGACTCCGCGTCGGCATTGGTGACTCCTGAGAAGAGGAGGGGTTGCTGGTACCAGAACCACCCCCGCCTCCCTGTTGCAGCTCTTGCATATTGTTCAAATGTTTATCGCTCTGCATATGTATACTAAGATTGCCTTTCGTCGTGGTGGAATAATTGCACACTTCGCACCTATACGGTTTGTAACCACAGGTGTAGGTTTCACCACGCGCTAACCTAGGATGCGGCTGACCTGCATTGCAATAAAAACAGGAGGCCTCGCTTTCTGGATGTTTTTCCTTCATGTGTATTTCAAGGGTTTCTTGATACTTGTAGTGCCAGTTGCACTTGGGACACTTTAGAGTTTTGCAGGAATTTCGACTGTGTATTCCAGCAAGTGGTCCGCCGGGACCGGCAAGTCGACTATTCGATAATATAAGCTCGCACTTCTGACATTCCACTCCACTTGGTCTACCTTGCATGTGTTCTGGACAAACACCTATCGTGGTGCCGGTGAGGAAGTTCGGTGGAGCTTGAGTAAGAGCAGCGTATGAAGACGGAGATCCTTTGGTGGATGAAGTTGGCGGCGGTGAGGTGTAATGTAAGGCATCAGGGGCTTTAGCCCAAGACGCAGCGCTTACTTGCGGACCGCTCCACGGATGCTGCTGTTGTTGATGATTGTACGTAAGAGGATGATTCGAGTGTGATGTGGGCGTAGTAGGAGTGCTCGGCGAGGGTCGCTGCTGTTGTTGCGTCTGTTGCGATTGCTGCTGTTGAGGACTGCTAGGTACGCCGGGTGTGCTCGCTGGTGTACTCGTTGTGGTCGGCGTTGTCTCGTGTTCGTTGGACTCGCTGCGTTGCTGTTGTTGAGCTTTAATCTGCGCGGGCGACGCCTGAGCGCAGGTCGAGCTCGTAACGGGTTCTAGAAAACTAACGAGCGGCTGTTTTCCTCTACCCACGGCCTGTATAATGGCCGACGCCGTTGAGTGAGAGAGTATTTGTCGTTCGTCTTCCATTAAAGTAAGTTGATGCTCGCCCTGAGCGTGCGCGACGAAACTTTTCGCATACCCAAAACTGAGCTTGCATATGAAACACATTAGGATAGGTTTGACAGGTACCGACGCGGCAGGCGGCGGCGGTGCTGTGGACGCTGGAGGGGGCTGTTTACTACCCTCCGCACTCCTGTAACTGATCACCCGATAACTGTGCATTACGGGAAGATCGGGATTGTGCTGTTGGGACGCCGAGCGCTGTTGCTGCTGTTGTTGCTGTTGCTGGTAGGCCTGATGCGCGTATAACCGCGATACATAGTACGCGCTCGCGATTTGTGGGAAAACTAAGGAGTGAGGAACCGATACACCGCGCCCATCTACAATACAACCGTCGGGTAGAGAGTCGTCTTCACTGAGTTCACTCTCGCCTTCGATGATATAGGCCGACCCATCCGGATTGTAGACGATTTTACCGTCGAATTTCTCCACGTCGCCGCCCGTCGGGCTCGGGCTTGGGCTAGGGCCCTGTTGTTGTTGCTGACTTTGCGACTGCATCGTCATAGTCGTGGTGGTGGTGGTAGTGGTGGTGTCAGCGATAGGTGTGGGTGTTGGTATTGCGTCGCGGGTGCAGGGTTCTGTGCCCGAAGGTGGACTAGCCGTGCGGGGATGATGGGGCTGATGAAGTGCAGCCCCAGCCGCAGGGGGGGACCCACCCACTCGGCCCCCCTCCTCCTCCGGGCTCATCTCCTGCTTCTGCTGCGTGTACGTGGAATTTTGGAAGGGTCCGCCGTGTTGCTGCTGTCGCTGTTGCTGTTGCTGATGATGGGCCGCCACCAGCTGAAAGAACTGATGCTCGATCGCGCTCGGCGTGTGCTGCTGTAGATGCGAGGGAGGAATGTTGTGGTGCTGAAGGTGGTACGGGGGATGAGGCTCACTGGAGGGCATCACCCCAGACGTGAGGCGGGCGCCAGCCTCACATCACCTACGGCGTCTACGCCTGCGTTCTCCGGACTTCCTCCGCGGACTCTTCTTCCGTGCGGATTCGCCCGCTTCCTCGCCGACTGCCTCCCCGTCTTATCTTCTTCACCACGAAGAGACGGTTCACTAGCTACCCCGACGCAAGCCCAGGTCGTACCTGTAACAATTCAAATAAAGATCGGTCATTCAAACTGACAATAATTTTACAAGAAAGTTTTTATATATAAACATACTATTTTAGAACTGTTAGAAATTACGTATGGCTTGACTTTAGAAATCCTGAATTCTATTCGTAGGATGAGACTAGTTAGCTCGCTCGTGAGAGAATGAATTCGCAGACGGGACATTTAGAAGTCGTTCAGTCGTCTAATCCGTTAAACAGAGTCAACATTTCCGAGGACGACCGAAAGATAGCGAAATACGCAGAAGTGCAGCAAGCTGCGTGTGCAGAGGATCGCCCGGAGAAGACAGCGGTTAGGTACACAAAACCGCGGCGGAGAACCGTCGTGGTAACACAACGAATCGTTGTATTCGGATTACCTGAGTGAACCCAGCTGTGTTTGCGTTCGATCGGTTGAGCTTATCTATCGATGAAATATCAATGTTCTTGTCCGAGCAATATGAGAACGAAAGACGAAAAGGCGAACAGCAAGCTCGATAGCGAATCATCGCTATGAATGCCTGCTTTGCTATAAATGCTTGCGCTCAGATTAAGGGTCTTTCGTCTCTTTCATGCATGTCTCTCTTTTTTCTCAAGTGAAGTTTCGTCATATAATATGAAATAGAGCATTGTTGGAATTCGCTCACTGCATTAACCTTCTTTATCTCTCCAACATTTTTAACTTTTTCTTATTTAACTCTGTCGGATGTAAATTTTAATACATTTCGCATAAATTTTCTTCTTTATTTTGCAATGTAAAAAGGTTTACACTTAAAATTCATTAAAAATAATATTTAAAAAATTTTTGAAAATTAGTATCTCCACTCACAAAGATGCGCAGACAGAATTACAAACTCAGAAGCAAAATTTCCAGGCGGTGATTCAATTCACAGTCAATAACGCGATCTTCTCGCGCCGTCGAGATAATCCGATTTCAAATTACGCAAATGGATAAATTACAAACTGTGAATGGCAACGTACGCGTGTTGCGATTCCAGGTTAGGAAGAATTAACGAGAGCCGTGCGAAGACCAGACGCGTCACCCAAAACGAGATATGCCGTCCCGGCCGCTTTGATTATACCGCGGAGGAATAAACACGCTCAAGAGGAGGGGGGGGGGAGCAGAATCCACGTTTCCACTGAAACGTGCGCGATGAAGCGAATTCTTGCCGCGGGCGGGAGGCGAGGGCGAAGGCAAGACTCTAATAATCTAATCCCAATTACGCGGAATCGCGGTCTCGAATCAACCGTCGTGAGGAGGCCGGCCGCAAGCATTCACGGAATCTAACGGATTAAAGATGAGCCCTGGTGGGTGTAACGCGGGATTTATGCGCTGGCTCGCGTGCGTGTGTACGGGGGTGTGGAACGGCGTGACGATCCGTCGAGAGAGAATGTATATCCCATCCTGCGGAAGAGAAGCCTGGAACCGATTCGTCCCTCTCTTCCTCTCTCTCTCTCTCTCTCTCTCTCTCTCTCTCTCTCTCTCTCTCTCTTTCTTTTTTCCCCCTCACGCCGGTTGGCCGCGAGCGGTATCGCCGGACATTATGGTACATACGCGTATACGCGGCATTACACGGCTCCCTCCTCACCCCCCCATGCGCTCCTTCCCGCTCCACCTTCTACTCCTCTCTCCCCATTGAACCGCGCCATCGCCACAGTTATAATTCCGCGGTGCAAACGCCATAATCTAGTCACCGTATCCCCCGGCATCTCTTTCTCGAACGATACCGCTTTTATAATGCGTGAGGCACGCCGACCGCGATCGTTCCCTCGGATTATCATCGATCGATACCGCCAATCCTAGGTGAATCCTCCTTGTACGGTGCCCAATCACGTGCCGGCGCGTTCGAGAGACGTTCCACGATCCGATAAAACGGGTGCTTCGTCGACGGCGCTCATTAAAGCAAAATCGTACACGTCGAGGAATATAATTGCGCAGCCTACTGGATCGGTGCTAAACGAGGGAGAGCAAAATGCACCTTTACTGTATTCCCGTAAAGATGTAGCGAAAACGTTCTGCTTGAACATGGCGTAATTCATGATATTAACGTCGATAAACTCTTTCGGCTAATAATTATAACTCGATGTGAGTTATAACGTGGCAATGGTATCGAAATGTAACAAATTTTTAAATTCCACATCAACCAAGTGCAATTTCAACTGGTTTTGCCTTCTAACATTGTACTACATTAATATTACAATTTATGACATTTGCACATACAATTTTGTCACATCTTACGAGCATTTTTTAAAGCTATACAAATTTATTAAGTTCAGCTTTCAAGACACAAACTTATCGAGTTCAGCTTACAACATTGTAGAGATGCGAGGAACTCTTAAGTTGATTTAATCACGAATAAATAAAAAAAATCTTGTTCTTTAAGACGTATTTTAGACATATAAAAATCAATAAATAAACAGGATTTAATTATTTTCTTTTTCTTTATTTATTTAACAAATAAAACAATTGAAATTGTAAAACAATCTACATTTTACCGATATATTGGTGGAGAAACAATGTAATATTTTCATTCCATCTAATACATCTGCTTCATTGAGAATATAATTGAGATTGTTCTTAAGATATATTAAAGTATTCAACTTCCTTCGAGTTTTCAAAATTATAAAAATATTGGTATTTATTTAATATAACAATCGGACGATTCACTTCGATGTCATCTGTATAAACGATATTGATACGTTATCATATACTCAGAGAATATGCGGTATCCGCGAGGTAGGTACAAAATGAAAAATAAGGGTAACAAAGGGGCATCGGGACAAACGAAGAACATCTGCCAATCTGACATCACCTGCCTCGCCTATTTCTAGTCAATTTTTCACATATTTCGGTAACGCTAGGAAGAGCGGAAGGACGATCTAGCGGCGTCGACGCGTCGACGTTAGAGGCGTATGGCATCGAACGGCTTTGTTTTCGCAGGGTCTGGCCCTAATTAAACGATAGCATCTTAATTGTCTCCCGACCATTCTAACGCGGCGATTCATGGCCGCGATCGCTTCGAGGATAGAGCGATAAGTTTCGACTGTTTTCTTATATTGCATCGTCATGATTCTTGTTTGTACGCCAAATATCTGGACGCTTCAAAAAATATTCAAACATTTTTCACGATTCTTTATGCACACGAAGCATATTTATCTTAATTGCATTAATTTTCTTGTATAATTACATGAACTGCATAGCAAATATTTTTAAATTTACAAATACGATTTCATGTTAAAGTTGAATCATTAAAAACCAATAAGTAAAAAAAAACAAGATTTAATTAGTTTCTTTTTATTTATTTATTTAACAAATAAAACAATTGGAACTGTAAAATGATCTACATTTTATTACCGACATATTTTAGTGGAAAAGCAATGTAATATTTTTGTTCCGTCTAAAACGTCTGTTTCATTGAATTATGAGAATAAATGCGTACAGTGATTTTTAAAGATTTGACGAATCTTTCAAGATAGAGAAACAGTGTAGGATTGATAAATATTTCATGAAGCAAGCAGGACAAGCTAAAAAAAAAAACGAACACTGATGAATCTACAAGTGTAACACAGCGAAGCGATACACCACGAAGCCCGACGTAATTATAACTTCGGAGAAAGTCGAGGACGATCACAGGTGGCTGATGAGTGTTCAATAGTGGAAAAGGGAAGCGCATGACATAACACAGCGGGAAGAAAGACGGCGAAGGGCACGCGGTGGGATTGGGAGAGGCACGAGGGAGGAGAGCGAGGACGATTCGGCGGAGAGAAGAACCTCCGATGATGGGAGTTAAATGTTCGGCGAAGGAGCGACCGCGGAGTGTACCGTGCCCTTTTGTTTGTCGCGGTGTTTCGCTCGAAGGTCCCTTTGTATCCTCCGAGAACGGAGGTAGGAGGCAAAAGTCTCTACGGGGCCCACATGGCGAACCCGGCCGCGTTTATTCGGCACGAAATACGCAAGATGCGCGCAATTATGGGCCTCTCAATTATCTCGTACGCGTCTCGTTATTTATTGAATATCGTGCCTGCTTATTTCTCAGGCGAGTTTGCGTGCCGTGGTAAGAGGGTGTCTCTCAAAAGGGTGGCGAGGGGATAAGACGTCGGGAGCGCGGCTTCTTTTTTCTCCTTGCAGGTTTCGACACGGTCCGACGTGAGGGGACGTATTGTTCGGGCTGATACCGAAACCGGAAGTCGTCGAAATTCCGCATCGCGCAAATCGAGACCGCAGACTTTCGCGTGCTCCAAATACGGCGCAGAATAAACAGGCGCCCTACTAGAGAACACATTATACCTCAATACGACATCATTTGGATGATTTATCCGCATTACAAAGAGCTTCCTGATTATTAGAGGCAGCGTATCACATTATATATTGTATTATATATTGTATATACACTCTAGGCCAAAGGTTTAAAAACACTCTTTAAAAATTGGCATTTTTGGGATTATTTATTCAAATATCCGTAAAAATATGTTTGTTTTTGTCAATAATTCTTTAGATTTAATAACAATTCGTCCACATTAAGGCTGTGATTGATAGATGTAGAAAACAAGCGAATTTTTCACACATAAATCTCATACATCTTGTGAAAAATATATTAATAAATGTATAATCAATAAAAAATTAAAAAAGAGCAGTAAAATCAGGTAAATAAATAATGTGCACCTCCCTTTCCCTGCTTTTCCATATCCATTAAAGCTAGGTAGGTCGCAAGTTTGCTATTCTAAAAGAAGTAGGTCACGATTCACAAAAGTATTGGAAACTCTGATCTGTACGATTAATTGGTATTATAAGGTTTTAAATTATAGGTAAAATAACTTTAGAGCTTCCTTTAATATTACGATCTTAATTTAATTAAAGCAAAGTTCCACTTATATTCTATATTTCAAACAGGACTTTTTAAAAGTTAAGTGTGATTTTTCTATTTTCATAACAATCGCT